AGTGCAGGGCTAAGGGCTCACTGCCTGCCAGTTTTACACAATCGGGTAAACTAGATTTAGAACTTCTCACGTCCCCAATCTTTAAACTATGCTGTGTCTCTCTCATAACCTCTTCTTTTCTAATCGAGTGTCCCTCCACTCTTAGTGGTTTTCCTTCATCTACAGTGTGAGAAACGTCAGAGAACACAATGTAAACAGGATTACAAAACAGATAAAGCATTAAAAGACATTTACCAGCAAGGGCTGAATACATAATTGACCGTAACCCCATAAAAAACTGTATGCTGAAAACAATGGCCCTCCAACAGCGTCTGTGACAAGCCAATGAAGTGAGTTAAAAGCTCAGATGTTTGTGTCACTGCATTGTTCCAGATGAGTCATTATGACATTACCCAATCAGAGATAGGTTGACATGATTCTCATGAACCTTAAGTTACAAAACTCAAACACTGTCTTCCTAGAGGTGACAAGAATAAAAGACAAAGTCACAAATATTTTATTTTAAAGCTATGGGAAGTTAATAACAAAATATTTATTCTATTCATGGCTTCTGAGTATATATTTAGTTCATTTAACTGTAACAAAAATAGTAAATTAATATGTAACTGCATATTCACACAGTAATGAACAATTCTGCTCACACATGTGCAGTAAATGTTGATATATTGATTATGTCATATTTTTCAGAAAGCCAAAGACACAGAGCAAGTCCCAAAAAGTCTGGATTATTTTTTGCTTATTTTATTGTTGTGTGGGCCAGACATAGAGCAGAGTTCCATAAGTCAGCTTGACACTGGCTACAAGTGCTGTGTGATTTAAATGAGACCCAAATGTTGCATCGCATAGCTGACTAACTTACACGACAAGTTGTATCTGTAGCTGAATTGATCAAGACCAGGTAACTCTGAGTCTATACTGTCAGTGAAAACTAAACTCCTGATATGAGGCACATTTGCTGCAATTATTTATAGAAATAGGTGTTGTAGAATAAAGCTACGAAAGATAAGGGCACACCCATCCAATACCAAATGGAAATTTGGTTCACTGTGTAAAGAGCAGGGGGTTCTGCTCTTATTACTGAAAGATGACCTGAGGGATGGACCCCGGCACGTTTTGCTGTGATACTGGATTGTTGGTGGGCTCTTTTAAAACTATCTGTGCTCCCAAATGTCTCTCTCCAGAACCCAGAAAGATCACCAACCTCCTACAACCTCAAAGTTTTCAACTTCAGTTATAGAGTCAGCACCAGCTATTGCAGAGTCTGAACAGACTCCATTTCCCCAGTGTCAGTCTGAGCTTTCCCAGTTGGAGAGGAGGACACCTGCCTCTGTTATCAATTTCCAGAAAAGTTTTATTGCCAGTCTCCTGGTAAGATCACCACTTTGCTTTGCTTCCTGGTGATCCTCCGAAACACCGCTGTCAGTCTCTCCAGTTAGTTATTCAGTGTTGAGTGTTTCTTGACTAATTCAAATACATTATTATATAATAATATTTTAGCTTTGTATTGACTAAGCTGTAGGTAAATTATGTTATAATAACTGGAGCACAGTGCACAAGTAGATAAAGTGCATAAATATGTATTATAACAAGAAGCTTATTTTATATTTTGAAGACATATAGCTGTTCCGCAGTGAATGTCTAGAAAAGAATATTAGTGGTATAGACTTAATAACTGGGTTAATTTATTTAAAAATTCGTCTGTGCTGACCGAAAAGAAAAGACACATCATGAGGAAAATCCATCCATCCATTCATCCATTCACGTCCACTTATCCTTTTCAGGGTCGCTGGGGGTGCTGGAACCTATCCCAGCTGTCATAAGGAAAACGTCCACGGTTATTTAATGTATAACATTTCTTATAATTCTTTATTTGTATATAGGAAAAAACACATTGTGAAAATCTTGAGAAGTGTTGTCAACAGACATCATATCTAGTCTTTTATTTTAGAGAAGTAAATGGTTTCTGTGTTTGAAAGACTTCAGTAAATTTTAAAATAGTTAAAGAAAAATGTTTGTGCAGTATCAATACCAGTTGTGAGTTCATATAACAATAACTAAATTAGAAAATTGGCCTGGTTTCAAATGTTTTTTTTTTTTTTTTAAAAAGGTTTCTCTATGGTGGCTTAACCCCCCTTTTCATTATGTCTAACATTTAAACAATGCTCCCTGAAGGACAGAGTAAATGCTGAAATCAAGGTTGGAAAGTAAAAGCTTTTAACAATAGTGTAATGCTAATATGACATTTAATTTTTTTTCACATTAAGATATGATAACTGTATAAATTGTTTACTCTCACAAACACTGAGAATATAAATGTTCATCTTTGATATTTCCCAGTCATGCCTTTCTTAATATTCCTTTCAGGGTGCAGTAAAATGATGTAACATTTGGGAACAAAAATACAAAGTAACAACCCAAAACTGGATGCTAAGATAGCAAATATTTCCACTGCCACAGAAAATTTCCCAGGACAACTGACATAAGCTGGAATAAAAGAAATCCACACAGCCCAGAAAATCAGCATGCTGAAGGAGATGAACTTTGCTTCGTTGAATGTGTCCGGTAGCTTTCGTCCAAAGAATGCCAGGAGAAGACAGACAAAGGCCAGTAGGCCAATGTAACCAAGGAGCAGATAGAACCCAGGAGGCCATGGCTCTTTACACTCCACCACAATCTAAAGATGTTAAACAAGTATAAAAACAGGGATATTTTTATGAATATTTTTTATTTGTCTCTTACCACATATGTAAATATAGATACAGATATGGATATTTCCGTCTTTTTGGATGGTTCATGGCAATATCAACTAAATCAAGAAAATAAATTACAAGACTAAGGATTTCAAACAAGAATGAATACACTGAGATTTTAAATCATTATGTTTGGTTCCTCTATGTTACTGTGTGTTACTGGCTTTTGTGATGGTTGATGGCAATATGAAAACATAAATTACAGAATTCAGATTTTCAGTTCTTCATACTCACTTTTCCAGTTAAAGCTTGGTAGTTTGGGTTCCTGAATGGAAAGGGAGGTGCTCCCAACACCCAGCCAGAACAGAGACAAATCTGAGGGGAGGATAGGATGATAGAAGAATACCAGAAACACACAAACTGATCTTTAAATGACAGTGACTGTTCGTCCTACCTGAGGAGCTGTCGCACAGATGATCAGAATCCTCTGCTGGGATGTACCAAACAGCTTCCGACCCCTGGAACCAGGTACATTAGTCCGGAAAGCCAGGAGGACCACAATAGTCTTAACAAGGAGGCAGGACAAACACAGGACAAAGCTGATCCCAAATGCTGCCTGGCGGAGCCTACATGTCCACCAAGACGGCTGACCAATGAACACCAGAGAACACAGGAAACAGAGCTTGAGTGACAGGAGAAGCAAGAAACTTATTTCTGAGTTATTGGCCTTGACAATGGGTGTATAGCGGAAACTGTGAAAGACAATGGTGATGATGGTAGTCAGTAAGAATCCCAACAGGGTGAGTGCAACCAGGATGATTCCCATGGTGTCACTGAAAGACAGGAATTCTTCTTCCCCTGCAACACATTTCACTTTTTCTTTGTCTGACCAGAAGTACTCAGGACATTTTGTGCACTCACTGGAACCTTTGGGAACAAATAAAACAGATATATGATCACGTTTTCATAATTATTCCACTCTGCAACATTTCTGTTATTTTAATGACCTTCTTGATTGCACTACATAATGCTAAAGGAGGATATTGTTTGTTTGTGTGTTTGAACTTATATAGGCTACCAGTCTGGTTGCTGATCTCTCCATCTGCACAGGGCAAACAATCAAAGCAGCATTTGGGCTCTCCTTGGCGCGTGGCCTGCCTGCTGCCAGGGGGACATGGAGCACTACACTGAGATACAGGAACCTGAACAAGGAACACAGAAAGATTTAATAACGGGCATTGATATGCAGTTTCTAACAAACTGACATGGTGTATCAAAGACTTTTCCCCATTTAAAGTAGAAAAAAAAACAAATGAAGAAATGAGTATTGTTTTTGTTTTTTTGTTTTGTTTTGTCTGTTTTGTCCTTAAGAGTTGACATAATGAAATATCTTGATGTATGCTCAATCATCCAGGTATGTAAATTCCAAAAAGTTGACATGGATGTAACGTTTTCAGTGGGAGAAAAGTTTTGTCACTCAGTCTCAGCTGACTGCAGGGTTCCTTACCTTGTAAACAGTACCTTTGCACAATGACTGAAACTAGCCCACTGAATGAACAACGGGCTGTGAGGTCAGTTTCTTGATCATCAATATGTGGTTGTTCACAATTGATCAACAACCACTGATCAAATAATTGTCTATCATTGATCAATGGCCATGAATACTATTCGCAGAGTTGGGGAATGGCTGCAATCACAGCATTGTAAAATGGTGAAAGATGTAAGGAAACCTGCAGTCAGGTGGGACTGAAGAAGTCAGTTGGATGAGTGATGAAACATTTCTCCCACTAAAAACACTATGTCCAGATTAACAGAACCAACTTTTTGGCATGATTGGAAATCCTAGATTGGATTGGAAACTTCATTATTTCACATAGTAGAATTATGAGATTGTTGTCCAGAGTAAAAGAAAAATAATTTAAAGGCACAAAAATAAATATTTTGAGGTTAACTCTGACGTACCTGAGATTGCTTTTTTGTCCAAACAATAGTGTTTTTCACTATCTTCAACTGCTGTCCTTGTGGAACTGAACCATCATAGCTTCCAACTTTGATAAAGCTATGATAAAAAACAGTAAATTATTTCAAAATGCATTCTAACCAAATAATACATGCAATAGAACTGCATCATGAAATAGAAATATTGCATATTTTTGGTGATTACTTTCACTGTTCAATTATATGCGGAAGAATTACATTCCACCTGATTTTATCCTTGCTGCTCTCCTGCCAGTTAACAATGTCATAAAGCGGGACTGGCTCTCCATTCGAGTCAAAGTATATTTTCTCATCAAACTGGTTAGTGAAATTCACCATTTTCAGATCTTGAAGAAACTACAAGAAAAGATCATTAGAAAATATTTTAAAAACCTACAAAAACACATGAGATCACATTAACACTGCTTCCCTGAGTGAATGTGTTAAATGCAGAGAGGAATTTCCCTACGGGGATCAATAAAGTATAAAGTATACATTATCCTCATGGTATATTTTGTTATAATTTCACTTACCTGACCATTTGCAAATGAGTTGTGCATCTCACATAATCCCTCATTTAGTCCTGTTGAGTCACACTTCAAAAATGTGTGAAGAGCATGAGCAATGGCGTACACAGCTTTATACACATTATAGGAAATTCTAACCTGAGATACATCACTATAACTGCTGTCAGTGTATCGCAAATCCTCTGAACCTGTGCACACGGGTTTTTCCTCCACTCTCCCATTAAATAAACAATCATCTCCGTTCCTGTTGTAGTGAAAACTATACATATCAGTGAAGTTATCAACAATATTTGCTTCATAGTCTTTGGCTCTTTGGCTTTCAAATTCTAGCTTGCAACCAAAATGTTCTTCCCAGAACATATTGAAAAATTCCATTCCTGGTTTGGGAGAGGGTCGGACAGTCAAAAGAAACTCTTGAAAGCCTGGGATGTTGACTCCGGGGAAAGAGAACCCCAGTGTTCCCACTAGGAGAGGGTGGAATTCAGGTGAGGCTAGCCGGCTAGAGGTAACCCAAGCTTCACTTGCTATCCACTGTATCCCTGTCACATTCCTCCTAGCAAGCTGGATAATATTATGTAATCATGAAAACAGACACAATTTATGTTGCAGTTTCTATGTCTTATAATAGTTTTATAAAATCAAAAATGTGAAAAAAAATGTGAGTATAAAGTTTTATTTTAAATCACATAATAAATCAACAAACATACTTACTTCTAAAAGCAGATCTAGCAGTTCCACTTCTGTAGCAAACACCACCACAACCCGAGCAGTTGAACTCTGCAGCTTGTCTGCTATTTCTTCTATCTCAGCCACTGTGGGTGATGTTGGGATAGTGCGGTGATATGCCACACACCCACCTTCTTTTCTAAATTGAATAGAGAATGCTTGTATGCCATAAAGGCTGTAGTCATCCTGAAAAAATAAATAAATAAATAAATACACACACACACACACACACACACACACACA